TGTTCATGTTGGACATATGTTTTCAATTCTCTTGGGTACATACTAATAGTGGGATTGTTGTGTCACATGATAATTCTATGTTTAACTTTTGCATTCCTGCTGGCAATGTGTGGGGGTTCCAATTTCTCTACATCCTTGCCAACATTTGTTATTTCCTGTCTTTTTTATTGTGGACATTCTTGATGGTGTGAAGTGATATTTCATTGTAATTTTGATTTGTATTTCCTTAATGACTAATCATGTTGAGCATCTTTTCATATGTTTATTTCATATGGCATATATTCTTTGAGAAATGTCTGTTCAAATCCTTTGACCATTTAAAAATTGGTTTATAATCTGTCTTTTTATTTTTGAGTTGTAAGAGTTTTAAATATATTCCAGATACTAAACCCTTATCCAATATATCATATTCAAATATTTTTATCCTGTGTTTTGTCTTTTCACTTTAATGATAGTACCATTTTTTTGTTATACATGAACACAATATCTTTATTTTTGTTTATTTATTTTTATGTGGTGCTGAGGATTGAACCCAGGGCCTCACATGTGGGAGGCAAGCACTCTACCACTGAGCCACACCCCTAGCCCCATGATAGTTCCTTTTGATTAAGTCCAATTTCTTTCTCTTTTGTTGCTTGTTCTTTTATACACATACACACACACACATATTTAGTTGTTAACAGACCTTTGTTTTACTAATTTATTTATATGTGGTGCTGAGAACCAAACCCAGTGCCTCATACATGCTAGGCAAATGCTCTGCCACTGAGCCACAATCCCAGCCCCTGCTTGTTCTTTTGTTTTATATTTAAGAAACCATGGCCCAATCCAAGGTCAGTATTTACACTTAGGTTTTCTTTTACATGGTTTATAGTTTTAAGTTTTATATTTATGTCTTTGATTCATTTTGAGTTAATTTGTGTGTGTGTAGTATGAGGTTGAGATTCCATTTGATATCCAGCTGTTTCTTCCTCTTCTATTTCTTGGAAGAGTTTATCAAGGATTGCAGTTAATTCTTCTTTAAATATTTGGTGGAATTCACCAGTGGAATAGTTTGGGCCTGGGCTTTTTGTAGGAAGTGTTATAATGACCAATTTCCCCAGTTCCCTTCTGTTCTATTTATTCTAAATCTATGCAAAATTTTGTGCCTTCCTGGTGATTTGTTTGTTTACTCTAAGCTATCTAATTAGTTGGCAGATAGTTACTGTATTACCTTATTTTTATTTTTAATTTTTATTTATTTAGTTTTTTGGTGCCAGGGATTGACTTTAGGGGCACTTAACCACTGAGCCACATCCCCAGCCCTATTTTGTCTTTTATTTAGAGACAGGGTCCTACTGAGTTGCTTAGCGCCTCACTCTTTGCTGGGGCTGGCTTTGAACTTTTAGCCTTCTGAGCCTCTGGGATTCAGGTGTGCGCCACCACGCTGGGTGTAGAGTATTCCCTTATAATTCTATTTATTCCTGCAATGTCAGTAGGGAGGTTCTCCTTTAATTCCTGATTTTCATAATTTGTCCTCTCCTCCCCTCAGTCTAGCTAGTGTTATCAATTTTGTTGATCTTTACAAAGAACCAACTTCTAGATTGTTGATTTTCTTTATCATTTTTTCTTTTCTCTATTTCATTTATCTGCTCCAATCTTTGTTAATTCTCTTCTCTGCTTGATTCAGGTATAATTTCTCCTCTTTTTCTAGTTTCTTCAGGCAGAAGATTAGGGTATTGTTTTTTTATTCTTTTTTATTCCAGGTATTTCATTTCCCTCTTTCTATAATTTAGCTGCATCTCATACATTTCTGGGTGTCGTGGTTTTCATTTTTATTTACCTCAAATTATTTTCTAGATTATCTATTTTTCTTTGACACATTGGTTACTAAGTACTGTGTTATTTATATACATTGTGAATTTCCCCCAGTTCCCTTCTGTTGTTGATTTCTAATTTAATTCCATTGTAGTCGGAGAATATATCCTTAGTGTTTAGTTTTTTGAATGATTGAGACTTGTTTCATGACCTAACATGTGAGCTATCCATGAAAATGGTCTATATGTGCTTGAGAAGACTTCATTCTGCCATTGTTGGATGGAGCGCTCTACAGATGTGTCAGAGTCCCGTTAATGTAGAGTGTTGTTAAAATTTCCTGCATCATTACTGATTTTCTGCCACTATTGAAAATGTAGCACTGAAGTTTCTATTATTGAGTTTCTGACTTCAATTCTTCCAAATTTTTTGCTCCATTTTGGGGAACAAATATATTTATAATTGTATGTTCCTGATACAGTGGCCCTTTTCTTATTATAAATGCCTTTATTACCACTCATAGAATTTTTTTGGTCTAAAGTCTAATATTTGATATTTGTATAGTCACTCCAGTTCTTTGATAGTTGCTATTTGCATGGTACATATTTTTCTAAATCCTTTTACTTCTAATCTATTTGTATCTTTGATTCTAAAATGTGTGTCTTATAGACAACATACAGTTGGATCTTGTTTTTTGTTCAGTTGACAATATATACCTTTTGATTAGATTGTTAATCCATTCACATGTAATATTATTCATATGGTTGGATGTATAATGGACATATTTCTTTTGGTTTTCTACTATGTCTCATGTTTTTCTGTTCTTCTTTTCTCCCTTTGCTACATTCTTTGGTATGATATAGATATTTTATAGTGAACCATTTTGATACTTTTAATGATTTTGTTTTTTTGGTACTAAGGATTGAACCCAGGGGTGCTCAACCTCTGAGCTACGTCCCAGCCATTTTTTATATTTTATTTAGAGATAGGGTTGCTGAGTGCCTCACTAAGTTGCTGAGACTGACTTTGAACTCATGATCCTCCTTCCTCAGCCTTCCCAGCCACTGGGATTAGAGGCGTGCGACACCATGCCCAGCACTTTAATGATTTTTTAAAAACGTTTTTTTAGTTGTCAATGGACCTTTATTTTATTTATTTACATGTGGTGCTGAGAATCAAATCCAGTGCCTCACACATGCTAGGCAAGCTCTCTACCACTGAGCCACAACCCCAGCCCACCTTTAGTGATTTTTAAAGACATATTTTTAAATTATTTTCTTGGTAGTTAATTTAGGGATTATAATATATACCTTAATTTTTCAGAATGTGCCTCAGAGCTATTTATTTTTCAGCTTTTGCTTTTTAATAATAACAACCACCCCTTATATTTGCATAGTGCTTTGCAGTTTATAGATTGATTTCATATACCTTATCTTATGTTGTTCATAAAACAGCAATATGAAGTAAGCAGGTCTAGAATTTTATTCTCATTTTGATGAGAAAACAGAATCTGAGAGGTGAAATGACTGCACAAAGTCACACAGCCAGAGGATGGCAGAATCAGAATCACAACTCAGGCCACATTTATTTATTCATATATTAATTCATTCTGTCAAACATATTGGTTGATACCTACAAACAGCATGGAACGAAAGATTCCCCAAGATGCCCTGAATATTCATTCCCAATTGTATTAAGCAGCTGTTGTATTGGTTTTAGACTGATACAATTTTTACATTTTGATAAGCTCACACTTCAGAAGAGAAGACAGAAATGATTACAATACAAGGTAATGATGTTACGATGTTATACCAGAGACTGTGAAACATGCTTTGGGATAGTAGAGGGGGGAATGTAGAACTATGGGTGGGAGAAATCAGGGATGACTGTACAGAGGAAATGACATTTGAGCTAGGTTTCAAAGGATGTATAGGAGTTTGCCAGAGAGAGGAAAGAACGTGACATGAAATGGCACAGCAGAAAGGATGTGGTTTGTTTGGGAAAACAAGAATAGTTTGAAGCGGCTAGAAAGGAAGGTTGAGAAAGGAAGAGGGGTTGAAGATGAAGCCACAGAAAAGACAGGTTGGTGCTGGATTGTGGAGGGCCTTGAATTCCATATGAAGAAGTTAGAATTTTATGAACAGCAGAACTAGAGAATTCTGGACAGAAGACTGGCAGGCTTTAGAAAGAGTAATTTGATGGCACCTTTGTGAGGGATCTAAAGGAGCATCAGATGTGGTTCTGGTCCAGGTTAGAGCTGGTGCATGCCTGAACTAACGTGGTGGCTACATTAATGAAAGAAGGTTAAGATGACAGCTGAGAGCCTGTACCTCTGGCTCACACTCCAAGATCTCCCTCCTCTATGGATTTGCTTCTTCCATCTTCTCCTTTATCTTTTTTTTAAAATATTTTTTTAGTTGTCAATGAATCATTTATTTTATTTATTTATATGTGGTTCTGAGGATGGAACCCAGGGCCTCACACAAGCCAGGCAAGCGCTCTACCACTGAGCCACAACTCCAGCCCTCTGCTTTACCTTTTGCTCCTTGTTTGAGATAAGGCCTAGTCTAGCCTTGATCTAGATTAGTGTCTAGGACAAGCCCTGTAGCTTGAGATCAGCAGGTTTCTACCTATCTGAAGTCCTCTTTTTACAATACAGCTGAAGAGGAAAGAATCCTTCTACAGCTTACTGTCCAATGATCTGTAGCAACTCCCAGCTTGTGAATAACCAAAGAAGAACCCCCCTGCATTAGAGGTTAGAGGACCAATACTATGAACCCTTACCCTATCTTTTCCACCATGTCCCACCGTTCTTCTAATAACCAGTCACACTGGGCTAGATATCCTTCATAACATTTGCTTGGCTTTTCCTTAACTCTTGGTGTTATTAAAGCTGTTCTATCTACCTTTCTTATCTATGCATCATTATATCTTACCTATCTACAAATCCCACTCTCCTTTTCTCTCCAGAATTCTTCCGTTTTTTGAGAAAGGAAGAGGGGTTGAAAATGAAAGAAAGAAAGCATAAATCATAGAAGACAAAGAAAGGGTTTAAATCCTGGCTCTGCCACTTACTTTGCTTATTCTCAGTAAGCATATTTCCTAATATAAAGTGAGAAGAATGTGTGTATCTCACAAGATCTCAGAAAACATTAAATGATAAACCCCAAAACTATGAAGCTATATGCAAATGACAGCCACAATAGTAAATAACAACATAACATTTTATTTGTACATTTTTTCCAGTTATTAGAAAAATTGTATTTTTCTGTATAACCTAGATCCTGTATCCTATTAGGACATCCTGTCCTTGTATTGTTTTTATTTGTATGTTTTATCTTCCCAACTCAGATGAACCACCAGATGAGGTACCTGAGGACCAGAGCCTAATCATTTTGTTTCCAACATACATAATACAAACTTGTTACTCATAAACATTTACTGAATGTGTAAATACACAACTGATGGGAGTGTAAATACACTCAGAGGTTTGTTTACTTTTTGTGTTTGTGTGTGTGATGCTGGGGATTGAACCCAGGGCCTTGTGCATGCAAGGCAAGCACTCTACCAACTGAGCTATATCCCCAGCTCTGTTTTGTTTTTATTTGTTGTTGTTTTTTGGTTGCCCAGCACTTGAAGCTTCTTTATCTGTGTAAGATTGATTGATTGATTTTTACTGGAGATTGAACTCAGGGGTGCTCTCCTGTTTTTGTTTTTTTTTTTTTTTTGGTATCAGAGATCAAATCTGGGGAACTTAACCACTGAGCCACATTCCCCAGATCCTCTTATTTTTTATTTATTTTGAGACAGGGTCTCACTAAGTTGCTGAGGCTGGCTTTGAACACGAGCCTCCTGCCTTAGCCTCCTGAGCCACAGGGATTACAAGTGTGCAACACCATTCCTGTCCCCACAACTTTTTTTTTTTTTTTATGGTGCTGGGGATTGCACCCAGGGGCACTTAACCACCGAGTCACATCCCCATCTGTTTTTATATTTTGAGACAGGGTCTTATTAAATTGCTTAGGGCCTTGCTAAGTTGCTAAGGCTGGCCTCAAATTTGTGATCTTTCTGCTTCAACCTCCCAAGGTGCTGGCATTATAGGTATGTGCCCCAACACCAGGCTTTCTGTGTGAGTCTTAATGGGAGACAGGGTCCCACTTCCCACAAGAGAAGCCAATGTTACTCTCCACCCCACCTTATTGCTAAGGCACAGGCAACATGATATAGGAGTGGTCATTTGGACATTCCAACTTAGGACTTTGAATCTTTAACAAATGATGTGAAGGCAAAGGGGACAGAGGAGAACTCATTAAGATGGCAGCAGGCATTGGTGAGGGAGGCAGTGATTCCCGCTGTAGTATCCATAACTAGACTAGTCTTCTGGCATGGTTGTGATCCCTGATTCTATTTTCTGAGGTTGATTAGCTGATCTTCCCATCAGCTCTGAGGATTACTTGATAACCTTTCAAAATACTTATTTACTCTTAAGTTTGTAAAGTTGGTTTCTGTTGCTTTTAACTAAGCGTCTTAGCATACTTCTGGGGTAAGGATTTGAGGAGAAACAGAAAATAGGGGACTTTCCGTTTTTTTTTTCTTCTTTATTTGTAAACTGTATCATTACTGCTGTATTATTTTTTCCACTTAGAAATATGCTTTTGCTGGGCACGGTGGCTCATGCCTGTAATCCCAACGGCTCGGAAGGCTCAGACAGGAGGATCACGAGTTCAAAGCCAGCTTTAGCAACTTAGTGAGGCACTAAGGAAATCAGTGAGACCTTGTCTCTAAATAAAATACAAAATAGGGCTGGGGATGTGGCTCAGTGGTCAAGTGCCTCTGAGTTCAATCTCCCCAGTACCAAAAAAAAAAAAAAAGGAAAGAAAAAGAAATATGCTTTTAAAATAAATAACTGAGGGGGCTGGGGTTGTGGCTCAGAGATAGAGTGCTCACCTAGCACGTGCAAGGCCCTGGGTTCGATCCTTAGCACCACATAAAAATAAATAAACAAAATAAAGGTATTGTGTCCAAATATAACTAAAAAATAAAATATTTTAAAAAATAAATAAATAACTGAGAACACATTTGGGTAAAGTGAAATGGTAGAAAATAAAATTAAACTGGGGGGTGGGGGATGGGGTTGTGGCTCAGTGGTAGAGCGCTTGCCTAGCACGTGTGAGGCACTGGGTTCTATCCTTAGCGCCACACTAAAAAATAAATTAATTAAATAAAGGTATTATGTTCATCTACAACTAAAAAAATATTAAAAAATAAAAGAAAATTAAGAAATTGAGTTGGGGCCCAATTATGCCAGGGATTGAATGTCATTTGAGGATTTTGAAATTAAGTCAATAAGCATGGGAAATTTTTTTTCAATGACATCAGATCTGTGTTTTTTTGTTGCCATGTGAAAGATGCATTAGAACAGAGAAACTAGAGACAAGGAGAAAACCTAGGATGAGGGTATCAACATTGTCTGGGCAACATATTGAGAAAATTTTGAGAGACAGAGGGAGAGGGAGAGATAAAGAGAAAGAGGGAGGTCCATGCACCTGTGTGCGCTCGTGCATAAGCACATTGAGTTTACTGGAAACAGAAACTGAGGGTTTGAGAGACAATATGTTTTCCAAGGACAAGGAGCAGGATTGAGCTGATGGAGAAGCTTAAACTGCATTGTAGATCCAACAAAGACCCAGCCAACCTGGCAGAGAACTCTGGAGTGAATACTGCTCATCAAAGTTGTCCTGCAGTTGGCCCAAATGGCTAACCTTTATACCCATGCCTTCCTTGCTCAGTCGCCAGATGAGGGCAGCCCCAGGATGGGCATGATCTCTTTCAGGACTATTCTTTGTAGCTGAGGCAGCTACAAAGCAGCTACACCAAAGCAGCAGGAGGCACCCTGCTGGCTATACTCCCTGAGGGTGAATAGCAAGTCTTCATTGGAGGTTGAACCAGGTGGCACACTCCTGTGCCTGGCACAGAGACAGAATTATGATATCTTGAACAAAAGCACTGGGGTGGGGCTGGGGTTGTGGCTTGGCGGTACAGCACTTGCCTAGCATGTACGAGGCCCTGGGTTCAAGTCTCAGCACCACATAAAAATAAATAAGTAAAAATAAAGGTACAACTAAAAAATAAATATTTAAAAGAAAATAGCACTGGGGTGAAAAGGAGGGCATGGATTCTACAGATTCTGTGGTTTTGTAGATGGGGATAAAGAAGAGAGAGTAAATAAAGGTTAACACTGAGGTCTCTACATTTATATGATTTGATTATATTACCTACTAACAGTAAACAGCAGAAGAGAGAGAAAGAGAACAAGTTTGGGCAAAAAGTTAATAAATTTAATTTAAAATCATTGACTCTGAAATGCCTATAAAATATTAAGGTAAAGATGATTTTCAAGAATCAGGGCAAATGGGAGGTTTGAAGGTCTATAGCCATTGCTATATTTATCAACAATATATATGCTACATACATTATTTAATACTTACAATGCCTCTATGAGGTAGGAATTATTTTTCTTACAATCTTTCTGTATATTTTATTATACCTTTTATGAATGAAGAAACTGATACTTGAAGAAGTTAAATGCTTGGGTCAAAAACCTTAAGTCTGATGACAAAACACATGCTCCTAAAGAAAATATAGCTTTTCCATGGAAACCACACCACAGATAGATGGTATTTGAAGCCACAGATAGATGGCATTTGAGGTCACTCAGGAAGGGTATAGTTTTAAGGTGAACAAGCGAAGTCAAAAAGTGGCATTCTAAGGAAGCCAACGTTGTCCAGAGTGAATTGAGTAAGATGACAACATCAAAGAGATTGAAAAAGAGTGACCAGAACAGCTTTTATAAATTAGAAGTGTGGTATCTTCTAAGTTAAAGTAAAAAAAGGAGGTCTCTAATTCATACAGTTAAATGTTGCAGATATCATGGAGAATGAGAATTTGACAATTATAGGCTACTAATGATCTTACTGCAGTTCATAGAAGAAGCCAGAATACAAAGTGGGTTGAGGAGAGGGAGATAAGGAAGTGGGAGCAAGGGTATATGGTCCACTATTCCAGAATTTTTATAAAATAGGGGGGAAATTATGTCTTATACACAAGCAAGAAATTTATTAATATTATTTAATTGATTAATTAATAACTCATTGTTTCCATATTACTTGGATTTTACACTTCCACCATTTTTCTGGTTATTTTCTTCTACTCCTTTCATACCAATGTCCCTTCCCAAGTCGGACACACCTGGAGACATTGAATGTTATTTATTTTGGTTGTGGACAACTTGTTTTATTTGGTTTCGTGTTTTGAATACCTCAGGCAATTCTATCTCTCTTTGGAGGATGGGCCATAGACACTCCCTGCCCCAACTCCATCATCTGTTTTCCACAAAGATAGATAAGCACTCATTTTTCAGACCAATTCAATGATGCGGAAAGTTGTTAGGTTCTTTCCCTGCCACCCCCTTCTCTTCAGCACTTCTAAGGTTCTTAACAAACCAAGTACTTTATCTCCCTAGCCTCTCCATGTCCCTTGGTGGGCAGATCTTAGAGAAGAAAGAAACTGTCACTCCAAACCTTCTGGGATATTGTGTCCCAGTTGGAGAGTCTGTCTGACTTCATGTGACTGAAACCTTCTCTTGCCAGTCCTCATCAATCTATTTCTTTCTCAGAGGCAGTTGGAGCGTAATTAACATCGCCGTCCACCTGTGCATAGGAAGATGCCCACAGCCACGCCAGCAATGATGAAACTGCCCACCAGGACACCCAGGACCAGTGAAGTGTAGGAGCGGCCTCTTTGACTCCCTGCAGAATATGCAGAGAATTAGCTTAAGAATGCACCCTGCCCCAGGAGTCCATGGGTTGAGTTAAACCTCAAGGGATTTCTGTCCCAAAGTAAAGGGGCCACCAGTTCACTCTGTGATGTAAGCTGTGTGTGCTCTGTCCCCTACCACCAGCCCCAAGGCCTCTTGTTCAAGGTATCCATCCTTCAGTACCATCAGGTTGATGGGAACCTGCCCCCTCCCCAATACAGGACCAGCCCAGTACCCTGGTACCTTTGGAATTATCTGTTGAGATCTGTTTGTGTTGCTGCACATACTGTACACAGGTATCCTGTAGGAATTCCTGCAGTTCATATCGAGTGCGATTGTAGGCATTGAGCTGCTTCAGGGTAAAGGTGACCACTCTGGAGGGTTCCTGGGGGGCTGCCACCCACAGGGCTTTCTCTGGCTTAAAAATCACAAAGGAGCTTCCATTCACAGCCACTTCAAAGAAGACTCGGGCCTTTGAATCCTGCTCGGGAGGCAGCTCACAGCCCAGGAAGCAGGTGACAATGAGAGGAACTGCAGAGAGGGACTCAGGGTCAGGGTGCTGTGTGGAGAGGGAGCCAGATGCTGGGGGCTGTCCACCATGGGGAAGAGGACATGGTAGGGGGCTGTAGGGAGAAAAAGACTGGTGTGGGGGACGCTGTGAGGAGATGGGAGGGGTCTGGAGTTAGACTGCTAGAGGCTGTGTAAGGAGGGGCCGGGGACTATGAAGAAAAGGGGGACTATTAGAGAAAGAAGTTGGGACTTTGAGGAATGGGAGTGGAAGCTTCCAGAGAAGAAATTGGGGTATTTGAGGGGGAGGGTTTGGAGGTTTGTGGGGGACACGTGAGCAAAGTCATCAGCGTTTGTGAAGATGGGTGGCTGGAGAGTAAAGGAGGAAAGGTTGGGGTTGTGTGAAGGGAAGGGTGGGGGGTCTGTGAAGGAAAAAAGAGGACTGGGAGGCAAGGAATGGGGAGTTGTCAGTGATACTTCCGGGGCCAGGGTGGGTCAGGGACACTGCCTCCCAACAGGGTTCACCCCAAGAGGTCACACCAGCCAAAAGAGGGTCTGATGAGGCGCTCTCTTAGCTAGAACACGGGCTCCTCTCCAGCCTCCAGCTCCCACCCAGTAATCTCCCTGGGCTCAGGATGCCACCCAGGACCCAAAGCAGCTCCGCCCACACAAAGGCCACGCCCGCTTGCCCACGCCCACCAGCAAGATCCCCTCCCTAGAATACGTTCCTTCCCTCGAAGCCCCACCCCAATTCCCTCAGGCCCCGCCTCCCCTTCCCGTAGAGGCCTCCCGCCAGCCGCTCTGAGGCCCCGCCCCGGGCGCGTCCCCCTACTTACAGGTCACGCCTTGCTCACGTTCCCGATGCACCAGTTGCACGAGGCCATGAAACTGGCTCAGGTAGAGCTGCAGGCTGCTTTTCGTGCGCTCCCAGCTCTCGGAATTCTCCAAAGGCTGCAGTTGGAGGATCGTGACGTTGTTGCCCGGGCCTTCCAGCGTGTGTGTCAGCTGTCCACCCAGCGACGCGTTGCCCCGGTACCACACGTGATAGGGGTCACGGAAGTAGGAGATCTGGAGCATGTGGAGGCTCTGTGGGCCTGGGAGCAGCGTCAGCGCGTCAGGGACACTGGCGTTGGAGCTGGCGGCTGGCAGCAGGAGATAATAACTCCCTACTCAAAGGCCGGCTGCCCACCTACTTGACCCTATAAAGTGCCCAGTTTTTGATGCTGACAATAACCCAGCCAGGAAAACAAGACAGGGATTATTATCTTCACTTAACAGATGAGGAAACTGAGGCCTGCAGCTGAGAGACACACCCTTCTTTGGTTTCCTTTCTCTACTCCCTCTCCCCATTTTTGGTTGGTCATCAAACCCTGACCTACAATAAAATCCCAATTCGATCTCCTGTTACCTGTCTCCTATGTCTCTGCCCTAGTTCAGGCCTCTTCAATTCTAATCTGGACTCAGGTAGTAATTTCTTACCTCATCCTCCTGCACTCATTTCTTAGTTTTATTCCTTCTGATTGGACCTCCACCTGACCCAGGGATTAGAGCTAGTCGGTCTCAAAGGCCTCCAGTGAGGGATGGGGCTATAACTCAGTTGGTAGAGTGCTTGCCTTGCTTGCACAAAGCCCTGGGTTCAATCCCCAGCATGCTCCCCCACACACAGTTCTCCAATGATACATCCCTCCCCCTCATAATAAAAAATAATCATAGTTTAATATCCATTAAGTGATTATTAGGACCTGGATACTGTGCTTTACACATATTATTATCTTATTTGTGACTTCCCCCGAGGAGTTAATGGAGTAGCTACTGTTATTAACCCTAGTGTATATGGAAGGCAGGCTAAGATGGTATAGCAGAACTAAAGTCAGTCTGCTGTTTTGCCTCCCCATAGATACCTGTCCACAGGAACAAGTCCAGTGACCTGGTCCTAGCTGCATTTTCTGGTCTCTTCCCAGAACTTAGATATATCAAACTATTTCTGTTCCTCATGCTTTTGGTTGACATGTGAATACCATGTCAGAGTTGCTCTGCCTCCGTTGTTCTGCCTGGCAAATTTCTCTTGATGTTTGAAGATCTGGTTCAGTTGCCCTCTCATTTTTATCCTCCCAGACACGTGGATCTGTTTCAGGGTCCTAGACCATTTTGTGCTAGCATGTATTTCTAGGATTCCAAGTGGAAGTCTCCAAACACACACTGTCTTCAGTGGACGACTCCAGGCTATGGAGCCATAACTAGAACCATATGAGTCTGGTTATCTCTGAGAGTCTCCTGCACCCAGAAAGGGGCCTGGCACAGAGTTGATGCCAAGAGAATTTTTGAATGAGTGTGGGTTTGAAATTAGTGTATGTGTTTTGTCTGCATTTGCATTTGAGAAGTTGTGCCCTGTGTCTGCAGGTGTGAATAAATGTCTCTGTGTGAGTAACTTTAGACATGGTCCTTAACTTCTCTGTGGCCCAGTTTCCTTCTCTGTAAAATGCATAGAATATCACCCACTTTGTGGGATACTATGGGGGCTAAAGGAATCAGTACATGTATTAAGCAGCAGACGTTCTTTGAATACTGATTATTATCTGCTTCTTCTCTGAGGGGGGTGACTGAAACTATAGGGATTGTGGGAGAGGAGAGAGGAGCTCCTGTGTAATTATAATACAGGGCAAGAACTCCCCTCTTCTGCTGAAATGGGGCCACTTTGAGCAGCCTGATATCTATGAGCTCTCCTATTGATCACAGCTTCTACCACCCACCCCAATTCTACCTTATCAGTTGCATCCAGTCTTCCTCCATCTTCCTTAGTCTTGGTTTCTGCCCCACCTGTCTCAGCCTGTCAGTTCTCCCAGTGTTGTCCCATTCCCTCCATTGCTCTTCTTTTTTTTTTTTCCATTGCTCTTCTTATCTCTTCCCATCTTCCCTAGACTTTTCCTTATCTCTATCACCCTCAGCTCTTCCTCTGCAGGCTTCACGTCATTTCTCCCTCCCTCTGATGCTGGTTCCTTCACCCTCTACCAGTCCCGTTCCTATTTTTCCAGTCCTCTGATTTCCCCAAGGCTTTTCCAGTTCCTCCTTCCCAGAGACTTAACTGTACTTCAGTTAAGTCTTTGGGACACAAAACAGTGCCCTGGACCTTGCCTGCTCTAGAGAGATCCAGCCGGCTGCAGACATAGATGCTGTGGGATTAGATCCCCTCTAGTCTTTTCCAGGTACCCAGATAGACTGAGAGTCTCCAGAACCAAGCCAGGCAGGAGACATGCCCCCAACTCACCCTGTGAGGCTTCCTGGCTACAAAAGACCCAGTCAGGCAGCAGTAGTAGCGGCAGCAATGTTGTCAGCATCCTGAAGTTCTTGATCCCCCCCTGGGCTCCCGTCGGGGTCAGGCTGGGGGTTCCGCTGGCTGCAGCCGGGGGGAAAGAAGTGAGGCTGTCTGGGAACAGACAGAGGTTCAGCAGAGGATGGAAAGAGGCCAGGGAATGTCAGGAGGAAGAGGGTGTTAGGCTTTTAAAGTGTTATTCCTACTCTGCCTCATTTCCTACTAGGGGGCCGGCCTCCCTTTGCCCTCCCTCGTCCCCGCCCAGCATTGCGCCCTACTGCCTAGACCTGCCTTTTCCCTTAGCCTAGGGCTGCTTCCCAGGGAGCGGAAAAGGGGGAGAAGGGCTTGCTGAGAAGTTCCGCCCGCGCTGAGTCAAGTGGTGGGTGGGGCATCTGCTTTCAACTTACAGCGGACTCCAGGGTGTAGAGATCAGCAGGTTACGGATAGGGAAATTGAGGCCCTGGGAGGATAGGGATTTGCCCAAAGTTTACACATCATGGTGGTGACAGACCCAGGATTAGAATTTAGTTTTCTAGGGTATTCGCCTACACTTCATCAGAATTTTAAGTATGTAGCAATTACACAATCAGGGATCTTGCTGTAAGAAATAGTCACAAATTGTGCATAAAAGAGCTCATTGTTTGAGCTGGGCGCGGTGGGCACACACCTGTAATCCCAGCGGCTGGGGAGGCTGAGACAGGAGGATGGAGAGTTCAAAGCCAGCCTCAGCAACAGCGAGGCGCTAAGCAACTCAGTGAGACCCTGTCTCTAAATAAAATATAAAATAGGGCTGGGGATATGGCTCAGTGGTTGAGTGACCCTGAGTTCCATCCTTAGTACAAAACAAACAAACAAACAAACAAAAACAAACCAAAAAACCAACCAACCAACAAACAAAAAAACCCTCATTCTTTGTAATAGGAAAGCATTATGAACAATCTATGTAAATCTCAGGACAGGGTTGGTTACATAAAGCAATATTTTCAAACCGAGGTCATAAACTATTAGTGTACAATGAAAACAATTTAGCGGGTCATGATTAACATGTTTTTAAAAAATGAAATAGAACAGAATAAAAATGTCAATGCATCACCCTGAGTAAGCATTATATCATGAAATACTATTGCACAGTATGAGTGTTTTGGTTTTGTATGTGTATGTTTCTATTATGGGTTTTGGATAGCACTGTGAAATGTAGTCCTTACTCTAGGAAGCAAGTAGAGAAGTTTGAAAGTCACTCCCCAAAATATGATTATTCATACTGTGGAGAGTATGCCCTAGATTGAAAAACCTTTAACCAATCCCCACTTTATTTTAATCATATTACTTAGCACTACCTGAAATTATATTACTTATTTACACGTTTATTGTCTGAATGTCCACCAGGATTATATCAATGAGGATAGAGGCTATCTTGTTCCATACTGTTTCTAGAATTGCAAACATCACATAATAAATATCAGTTAAATGAATGAATGAATGAGATAGTTATGATGGGCTTGGATCTCCATGAATAAGTGCAGAACATTAGGTACAATTTAGAACCATTTATATGCCAACCACACACACAACCTTCAAGCAGCCTGTTAACGGGAGTCAATGAATCTGGAAGGATGTATATCTGATAACAGCAATGGTTTATCTCCAGGGAGGGGCCTAGGATTAAAAGTATATATAAGTGTGTGTGCGCATATGCAGAGGGGAGTGAGCCATCTTGTGAAAGCCTTTATCACTCTATTTTGTGAAGATTTTTATTACTCTATCTGTATTCTTTGAAATGTTTACATTTACATCTAGAATGTTCCTATATATTTATTAATTAATTAAAAATAAAAATTTTGGGCTGGGGATATGGCTCAAGCGGTAGCGTGTTTGCCTGGCATGCGTGCGGCGCCGGGTTCGGTCCTCAGCATCACATACAAATAAAGATGTTGTGTCTGCCGAAAACTAAAAAAATAAAAAAAATAAAAATTTAGCAGGGCATGGTGGTGAAGGCTTGTAATCCCAGCAACTCAGGAGGCTGAGGCAGGAGGATTGCAAGTTTGAGGCCGGTCTCAACAATTTAGTGAGAACCTAAGCAATTTAGTGAGACCCTATCTAAAAAATAAAAATTGAAAGGACCTGGAATGTAGCTCAGTGGTAGAGTGCTTCTGGGTTCAATCCCAGTACTGCAATAAATAAATAAATAAAAATTTAAACAATAACTTATGGTACATCACTATAGTTGAATACTCTGCTGCTGTGGAAGAAGTTGGCAGGTCATTATGAGCAATTGTATTGCTGTGGAAGGATCCATGAGACCTTGATAATAAAAAAGGAAGTGTGGAAAAGTATGGATAGTATAATTCCATCTATTATTTACTTCCATTCATGGAATACATTTATATTACTTATATAATATTTCATATTTCCTCACATTAAAAAACTTTATGTGTCTATTTGTTTATTTGAATATACATAGAGAAATGTCTGGAAGCATACTGGCAATATAGATTTCTTCTGAGGAAGAGGATTAGGTCAAATCCTTATGGGGGGATTTTAACTTTTTATTTTATTTACTTCTCCCTAGAGAGAGTTGACGTCATAGTGAGTTCTGGGGCAAACCCTGGCTGTCAGGTTCCCATGCCCTGAACTGAAGATTTGTAAGAGCTTCCATGCTCACTTCTCAGATTTGCAAAGAAACGAGGAAACAGCATCCAAATCTTTTTCTTTTTGTAGCCCACCAAAGTGATCTAGTTGGAAGAAGAACTCTTAGTTCCCAGAACTGGAACTCAGGAGAAATGGAGTGCCTTAAATCATGACCAATTGCACTGTTTCATCTTTTTTAAAAATTATTATGAAATATTGCATATTTGAAGAATTATTTCATGCTCGAAGAATTATACTACAAATACATCTATCCTCTCCTACCCAGAAATAAAGAATAAGAAATAAATTGGGGCTGGGGCTGTAGCTTACTGGGTTTGATCCTCAGCACCACATAAAAATAAACAAAGGCATTCTGTCCATTTATAGCTACAAAAAAAAATTAAAAAGAAAGAAATTGAAGCTCCCTCTGGAATCTTCCCCAATCACTTCTCTTCCCCTACTTCAGCACCTGAATTAGTCACTTCAAATGAAAATTTAATATTTCCTAGTATTCTATAAGCATAAACTACACGTGCACATATCCCCACACAATCTATAGTGGTAATTTGCACTTTATTTGAGTGGTATTAAAATGTATATATTCCTATGCAACTTGCTTTTTTTCACTTACCATATTAATAAGATCCATCCATGTGCTGAGCAGTCTATTCATTTCCATTGCTTAAAAATATTCCATTTTAGGGGTTGGGGTTGTGGCTCAGTGGTAGAATGCTCACCTAGCACATGTGAGGCCCTGTGTTTGATCCTCAGCACCCCATAAATATAAATAAATAAAATATAGATATTGTGTCCAACTACAACTAAAAAATAAATATTAAAAAATATATTCCATTTTAGGAATATGCTACAATTTATTTATCCATTTTCCTGTTGTTAGACATTTAAGTTTTTTGCTTTTTTACAAACAGTGCTGATTTGAACATTTTTGTACAAGATTCCTGTGTGTATGTGGGAGGGTTTTTGCAGGTGCGAGCCTGGGAGTGGACTGCTGAGTCAGGGTGCATGCATCTTCAGTTTTACTACATATTGCCAAATGGTTTTATAAATTGTGCCAATTTGCATTCTCAGCCGTGTATAAGAGTTCCTTCACTTCACATCCTTGCCAACCCTTGGCACAGTCAGATGGTTGGGTGTAAAATGGCACTTCATTTTGGTTTTTGCTTGCATTTCTGTGATGCTAATGAGCTTGTGCATCTTTCAGCTTTGCCTTTTTTTCTCCCTGGAAGGCTTGAAGAGTGTTTGGGAATGAAGGGTAATAAAGTATGTGATTGGCTCATTTGAAATTGAGTGCTGTGAATCTTTGATCTAAGCAGGTAAGGCTTGGTTCACTCAGGTTAAAGTGGACCCACATCACCCTCCACAGAGGCCTTTCACACTGAGGTGCAGTCTGTCGTGGGCAGAGGTGGCAGTAGGAATAGCTATCTCCTAGGCATCTTCCTCACACACCAGAGCCCTGAAAATTAAATACTATTTTTTTAATGGATAACACATATTATGGACCAGGAACAGTGTTCAGCTCTTTACATAAATAAAATCTCACTTTAGCTAGGTGCTATAGAGGATGCCTATAATCCCAGCTGCTTGGGAGGCTAAGGCAGGAGGATTACAAGTTCAAAGCTGGTCTGGGCAATTTAGAGAACATGTCTCAAAATTACAAATTAAAAAAGGGCTGGTTTTTGTCATATTTAATATGTTCATGTGTGTATACATGTATATATATGAAAAGAGAGAATAAAACTATTTTTATTTTGAAATTCAATTCCTTTATTGGCAATTCCATTCCATGGTTTTAGAACATAGTATATTTTGCTGGATGAGGTGGCGCACGCCTGTAATCCCAGCATCTCGGGAGGCTGAGGCAGGAGGATCGCAGGTTCAAAGCCAGCCTCAGAAGAGTGAGGTGCTAAGCAACTCAGTGAGACCCCATCTCTAAATAAAATACAAAATAGGGCTGGGGATATGCCTCAATATTTTGATATAAATTGGCAGTGATCTTTTTATTAACCCGAATGGGAAATCAAAAATTAAAAAGAGATTATGGCCAGATCACTGTGTCAATCACTATATGGTATTTTCTTTTGTTCTTTTTGTTTTAATTAAAATGAAAATTTTGGTTTTTTTAAAAAAAGGGCTGGAGATGCAGCTGAGTGGTACAGCACCCCTGAGTTCCATCCCTAGTACCGAGAAAAATACAAATAACAAAAAAACTCACTTTATCCATATTTCAGTCCTATAAGGTAGGTTTCATCATTACTATTTTTTATTATTATTAATAAAAAACTGAGGCTCAGAGAGGTTAAGTGACTTACCTAAGACCCTATAAACAAAAAGTATCATTTGAACCTTTGTTTGTAAGACGCCCAAGTTTGTGAATTTAACCCACATACAGTATATAAAATTTTTTGATCATTCTTCTTCAATACATTTTGAACATGTACCTCCAACTTATTTAAGTGTTTAATGTGTTTATATACATTATAAAACATCCAAATTTATACTCATGTACTAGGCCTGTAATTACTTCCTCTAGGGCAAGCCACGCTCTTTGTGTCCATGTTACAGATAGGAAAATTAAAGCCCAGAAAAGA